GCAGCTGAGCCCTCCCGTTGGGATCCACCGCTAGGAGCAAGTACGGCGTCAGAGTTCGGCTGCAACTGAGCATCGGCGGGCTTGTCGGAAGTAGCACCAGACTGTTGCACTTTCGTGGCCTGATCCCAGGTATCAGGTATGTTCTTCTCAAGCAGAATCTCCTCCCAAACGCAAGCAGCATGCAATCCTCCCAATTTCTTTACGAGCGAGCAGTAATGGTCAGCTAGATTCACCTGGACAAAGATGGGAAGCTGTAGACTGGGGCGGGATTGATATAGGGGCATGGAGAAAATTTCGCGAAGGAAGTCTGTCAGAACAAGTGCAGCCCCCATGTGCTTTGCAAGATACGTCCCATGTGTCAATGCGGGGGAAAGTGATTCTTTGCCTTTATTCTCCGACCCAGGCTGAGACGACTGTTTAATCAAAGGACTGAAGAAGCCGTTGTGGAGATTTTCGGGCTTCTGCCAGAATTCCGCGAGCATGTCAACAGCCCGCTCCGCCCGCTGCAAAAGAGATGGTACGACCACATGAGGTTTGGTTTCAGCTAACATATGCACGAGAACAGCAAGCTCCTGGTTGGCTTCCGTGTTATGGAAATCAAAGGGAAGGCTCTGCAGAGTCGCGAAGTCGAGAATGAACTCCGCGGCACCAGACTCGATGAAATATGTGCAGTTGGCTTGGTTCTCAAAGAAGGCCCCCAAGAAACGAACAACAGGGTAAAGGTAGTCCGTAGCCGTGAGTCCTGAGTCATCCACATTCTTGGGCTCAAGTTGTCCGTCCGAAGAGGGCAGAAGTTGACTAAGATCGCCAATCTGAAGCTTCCCGCCGTTTGGAAGCGAGTCGGAGTTGAGATGGGGAATCCCAAGCGAAGATTGAGCGTCAGAAGAATCCTGACTTTCAACTCCGATTGCATTCAACAGATGGGAAGTTGATCCTGCAAGGACGTGCTTGCCTTGCTGGTCTTCTGTCCAAAGCTTTGCTCCCATACCATGTGACCAAGCTTTAGTTTTGCAAAGAAGTCCCACACGGGCGACCATGACAATGACCGCAGTCATGACATGGGGCTTCAAAGCTGGATGGTGCCGCACAAGCTCGTCAAAGGTAGTACCCAAGGAGCGGACCAGGTTAGGGTCGTCTTTCAGGCATTTCACATGCTCCGGGTTCTCGAAGATTTCGAAGAAACTCTCCAGCGCATGGGAAGACTGAAACAGGTCCAATCCTGACGAGTTAAGACAAATGGCTCCGAACGCAGCAGGCACGCAAGAAAGAGCTTCTGCAGCAGACATTATCCCAGGTGCCAGCCGTACATCTTTCGGTCGTGCAATGCTATAGACGCGAGGGGCTTTATCCTTGGTCGCTGTGGGATCCGAAGTTCCAGTATTCGCAGTCGTCGAGGGCTCGTTTTCTGTGGAGACATCCTCCGACTCGGCTGCTGGCTTTTCGGCGACCTTCAGCTCGGAGAATGTGACGGCCTCCAGCAGACTTTTACTGAGTCCAGCTTCAGCAATGACCGCGTAGCTGGTGGGCTCATTGTGAATAAAGCTGCTCAAAATATTGACCGCATTGCTCCAAACATGAGAGCCGAACACCCGGGCATTTTCAAGCACAAGCCGCAAGGATGTCAGCAGCTGGGGCGAGTCGATCAGATTCCGAAGAACACGATCGAAGCCACCGCCATTGTGTTGCATGATATGATTGACGAAACGAAACATCCAACGGAGGGTCTGTTGCTGGAAATAGGGGATCTGATAGTCGATCGAAGGTGTCTTGTGTTGCGGGGGGAGTCCATTTCCGCTTTTTACATGCTCGAAAGAAGATTTGGTTTCATGATCGATCAAGTCTGAGATTGCATCGAATCCCTTCGAACTAGTAAGAGTACCAAGTGCATCACGAACTGCGTGGACGAAGGTATCCAAGAATTCCATTACCCTGGAGTAGACTCGACGGGCCTTCTCAGTTCGTAGCTTCAAGACATCCACGAACATTGGGATCAGCCCGGCGGAAACAAGAGTCTCGGGAGTCCTAGTACTTGATCCGGGCAGCGTCCGCAATAAGGCAAGCAAAGCATCCCGCCACTCATCCTGGCTACCATCATCCTGCTCGTTGTCCTCGGAGCCCAGCTCATTGACTACCTTCCGGGTGAGGAACATCAAAACACCATGGTTCACATTCACACTCAAAGCAGCACAGACGTCAATAGCACGAGCCTTGTGTTTCGCAAGGGCGTCGAGGGCCTGGAGTGCCAATGTCTGCACAGTCCGTGTAACTTCCAGATCACCGCTTGCCCCAAGATGAACAAGTTCAGCCAGTTGGAAAGCGAGCTGTAGGCGCTTGGGTTGTTCCATATCATACTGAAGTATCTTTTGTTGGAATAGCGGCTCGGGGTAAACATAAGCCAGGTTGGTGAGGGCAAGGATTCGAATAGCCAGGATCTGCTCCCTGCTGTCCCGAGACGTTGCCAATCCCTGAGCAGTGCGAATCCTGTGCAGCAATTCATACTTGGAGTCATCTGGGACCTCTCCCACATAAGTGGCAAGAAGATCTTCAGCCTTAGATGATGAGATCTTAGAATAGGGGATTTCAAGATTCGTGCCGCCCCGTAGCGCTTCGTCAGGCTTTGCGGGAGTCGCGATCACAGAACTGGGCGAGTCGTCGGTAGTGGACAGACGACTCAAGCGTGGGGTGGGGTGAGTATGAGTTCTACGCAGAGGTGTTGGAGTAGTGGGAGGTTGCACTGAAGGGCCGCTAGTACCGGTTTCAAACAAGGCCTTCGCTGGCTCCGATGGTCCGGATGGATAATAGAGCAAGCGAACATGCCCCCACTCATCCCAGCTGTCGTTCTCTCGAGTCAGCGTGACCAAATCGTTGGCGTTGTGTTTAGTCTGGGGTCCCTTCTCCTTCGTCTTGACTGCTGCTGCAGGCAACACACCAGCCGGACGAGGAAATGGGGCGGCAATCTTCTGTAGTTTCTCTAAGTCGATATTGTAATGTGCCGCTAACAAGCTCTGCTGGAGATGGGAGCCACCTCGGTGGCGTGAATGATACCTCTGTGCCAGGCAGAGCGACAGGCGTAGAGTTGACTGGAGAAGAGAAGGCGATGTGGTGTTGAGGAGATCCCCAAGGCGTTCACTACTACCATACAGACTGCGGTTGCCACACTTCTCCAGCAGGAGTCGGGAGAAATCGATGATCACTTCCAGTAGTTCCCTATCTCCTTCTGGGCCATACTGCAAAGCCTCCAACCTGGCATCGACATCCTCCGAAGCCCCGCCATTGTCATTTGTCGCGTAGCACTGCACCAAGAACTGTCTGTTGAAAGACTTCGTCTGCGGGCCTTGACTGAGGGTATAAGTTTCGATCACAGATGCAAGAATCTCATCGAATCGGTTGAGAACGTTGATCCAATGGTACAAGTCGCCTCTGGGAAATGGCCATAGACGAGAGAAGCTGTTGAGATGTGACGGGAGCTCAGGAATTGAAATAGTCGTAGCACGAGTGATAAATTCTGCTAGATATGGCGACTAAACGCACCGAGAGAGAGAAAATTTTTCAGTCAGCCTTCACATCAACAACGATGGCACGCGGGGTTGAAGCGAGAGTAACTCACGATCGTGGCTTCATGTTTCTGGCTCGCGACCTTTTTAATTCTCCCCATGATTACGATTGTGAGGACCGGCGGTCATGAGGAAGTGTAAAGGACTCGAGGAACCCCTCTTAAAGAGGGTGGAGGGGGGGGGAGGGGTGGTCGTGGAGACCGGGTCGCGGATCAAGTCGCGAGAAGGCCTTATGACGTTTTTTTCCCGGCTCTCTGCCTCGAGCAAACCAAAGAGTGAAGCGGTCAAGAAAAAGACCAGGAGTGTTGGGGACGAGTTGATAGAATGCAGAGAACTCTGCCCGATCGGAAAGGTTGAACGGTCGGAGAAAGTGGAAGGAAAGATAGAGTAAGGATTGAGGATAGCGGCGTTACTACTGTACCACTGGCGATGATCAAGGATGACAGGGAACGGTGCAGGCGCTGCCCTGAAATTTCGATCTCGATTTAAGATGATTCAAACAAGCGGGAGAGGAAAGGAACCGAGTCCTCGCTTTGATGGAAGGGTAAGAGGTTGAGTAAGTTGTCGATGGGAGGGAGGGAGGGGAAGGGAGGTGGGGTGTAAGTACTGGGTGAGAGGAAGAGAAGGAGGAGGAGGATGAGGAGGAGGAGGAAGTGAGTCGTCGGGTGTTGCTTGCAGCTGGAAGGTTCGTGAAATTATGCCGGTGATGGACTGGACGGGAGCTTCTCTAGCGGGCGGCTCTCTCTTTAGTTAGCACGCTCCTACCTCTTACCTTCGCGGTTGAAGCGTCCGGAGCGGGTCTTCTTCTTTCCCCGCTGCCAGTGTTATCATTGCATCAGAGCCTACTTTAAGGCCCGACTACTACCCTATCTAGTACAGTACAGTGAATATGTCCAATTTTTGTGACGGCTCAGTTAGAAAAGAAGGCGTTAGGGTGGAATGCTTCGGTAAGACTCGATGATGCCTCGACCAGTTGTTTGCCTGTCTTTCCACACTGTGTCTCAAAATCCATGTCAATGTCTAGCACTAGTGTTGTCTGTCTTATGATATATACTTCCTGCCCCAGCTTCTCGGAGTTGTGTTATGCAACAATCAAACCTTGCCTAGACGCAGTGAATAGATCATTCCAGATCTGATAATAACTCATTCACAAGCTTCTCGAGTTTGAAAATCCACCCAGAACAAGTGAATCTCAATACTGTTTATCTCTCGAGCAGATATCTGTATACAAACAATGCCATGCATCAACCCATGCAAAAGACCAATCTCACCACACCTCTGATCATCGAAGATATACTAAAAAATCAAGCCATTTGAGCTGGAAAACCAAAGAAAGAAGTGAAAAGAGACTCATATATAGATAGGCTAATCCAACACATTAATATACACGCTAAGATCCTGTGCCAACCCATCATCAACCCGTCAACCCGTCAATTCGCCGACCTCTTAGTTCGCAGCAAGAGGCGGTAGCTCTCCATCCCACTGGATTTTCATGGTCGAAGGGAATGGCCAGAAACTGCTCTGATCGGCAGTCATATAAATGGTTATGCCTCCATGGCTTGGAATCTTCTTCAACTGGCCCTGGGGGCCAGGAGCACGTCGGAGGTTGTCTAAACGACCTACAACCTTCAACATGGTCGTGAGCGCCAACTTGCAGAGACTCATTCCGAGGCACTGGTGAGGGCCCCATCCGAAATGAGCATATGCGCTCATGTCACGGTCAAGTCTAACTGTTTCAGGCTCCGGGAAGCAGACGGGGTCTCTTGACGCGGCGACCTATTATGCAATGTTAGCACTCCAAAACTTCACCGAGCCATCATTTTGGTTCACATACCAAGTTGCAATAGACCAGCTGGCCGGTCTTCAATGCCAGCTTTTTCCCGGCATCTTCGATCACCGTGGGCTTAGCCACGTAACGAGGCAAAGCTACCGAAGAGCGCAAACGAGCGCCTTCCATGAAGCTATAACAGTCTGTTAGTACCAGAATCGGAGTACGTTCTCAAGGGGATCTTACTATCTCAGCAAAAGATCATCAGCTTCAGGGGTGTCTTCCTTAGCAAGTCGATTGATCTCTGGCAGATGGACAGAGCCTTCCTCGGACAGGTAGTAGTCAAGACATTGCGAGAAGAGCTGGGCTTGGTTGGCGACCATTCCGCCTGCAGTCGGCAGAATGTGCGTCCAAACAATCTCAGTCGGGGAGATTTGACTTGCGAGCAAGCGTTGGATCATGTGGACACCATATTCGCTCAGAATATCATGTCGATGCAGACTGTGAACCAGACTCTGGATGAAGCCGGTATTCCTAACGAAGTCGACATTGGCCATTGTCAGCTCTCCGAGCTGCTGTGTTGCGCTCCGAGCACCCTGATTGAGCTCAAACGATTTCCCAACATCGGCATCGTAGAAGATCGACGCAAACACGAGAGCCATTATCTCATAGAGTTCTTGTTCCGTGAAGATACCCCTGGGATTCGATTCAGTTTTGAGAGGCAGAGAAAACACATTCGCGCAGAAATGAACCTGCGCGAGATTGGCGATGTCGCGAACAATATCGACCTGATTGACACCGGCAATCTGATACGAATGCTGATGCAAAAGTTTCAAGGTGATGGCCTCATAGAACTTCTTAGCTTCACTCTCCCACTTGTCACGATAGAGGGCTGCTCCCATCATCTTCCGGGACGCGGCATTCGGTGGTTTGTCTCCAGACAGCATAAAGTCCCGGCCGTGAGGCTGATTGTTGTGACGCATGAGAAACTCAATCTTCTTACCCCAGGTGACCTTGAAGGTCTCTTGATCGCTCAGAATGGCCATACAGGCGGCATTCGAGGAGATGAACTGTGGAGGTGGGGTGAGGCTGGGCCGATCCCAGCTGTAGTCGTCAAAACGGCCAAGATCCTTGAAAATCTTCTCATTCTCGGACGGAACAACAAGAGGGAAATGAGCATATATAGAGTTGCCGGCAAAGGTGTTGGGGAATGCACGCAAGACAAGCTTGTAGAAGACATGCCCCTGATCAACAGTATCTTGATACTGGATCTCATTGTATGCCCAATTCGTCAGATGCTTTGGCGTGTAGTCCACCGTATAGAAGCGATCACCACGGACCAAAGCTACGGCATCGGAGAGGATAGCTCTCGATATCGTGTAGTTCGTGCACAGGCCACTTCCAGGGATAGTAGATTCCTTCGCGTCTTCCACAATGATGCCCGGGTAGATTTCGACCAGGTCGGGGTGCTCGTACAGCCTCTTGAGCTGACCAGCAATGTAAGGGTCAGAGTTGATTTCCTCAAATGTCCTGTAAGGCGTGAGGTTGAAGTATTTTCGGAATTCGTTCAACGTGGCCAAGTTCCATGAGCGGGCCTGCATGATACCCAGGGCTTCGATGTTGCGGAAGACCGAAGGAACATTTGATGCTCCAAAGGCACCCGCACAATCTTCAACACTGTCCGCAAACAGCTTAGCCAGTTCACCTTCGTCCAACGATCCATCTTCCTTGCGCTGTAGCCCAGCGAACGGGCGTTCGGAAGGTTCCTCTGGTAGACGAGCTTCCCACTGACCAACTCCCCGCAGAAATTCTCGCAGAGAGATATCTTCCGGCTCTTTGCCAGGGAACAACTCGCGGTACATATCCTGCGTCCATTTCTCATCCCGCTTGGAGATACAAGAGTGCCAGCGGTAAACGAGATTGAACTCAGCAGAAACTTGGTTACCAGTGGCCTGTGCTGGTGCCTCACCTAGAAGTCCATCTTGCATCTCTGCTCGAGGATCCAGACTCCAGGTGCTGTCCGTTCGGTTGATGTTCAAAATTGTGCGAACGTAGTCCTTTAAAATAATGTTGATATACAAGCCGGAGGTCACCAGTCGAGCAGTCTGGAATAGGTCATTGTCGTACTTCGCATATGCTTTGGTATTCGACTCATCCGGCTTGGTGAAACGACCGCCCTCGTTGATGGTAGCCAGATTTTCGACTACATAGTTGTGGAAGCGGTTGAACATGATCAAAAGGACACCGACACCTGGGGGAAAGCCCAGAATACGTTTGCTGGAGAAGCAATCCGGCTTCAGTTTTCCGTCCTTGAATGTCCTTACCTGATTCTGCTCCTCTTGGTTGTTGCCATATAAAGGCGACAGATCCAAGTAAGAAGATGTCAAGCTCACAGTATAATCATTGCGGTCGGTTTGGAAAAGATCTCGAAAGCTGTTAGCTAACTGTCCGGAAAGCATCTCAGTCTTCAACCTTACCATGAATGATGATAGAAGCAAGGTAGAACAGGATGCTGGAGATCTTGTTCGGGTGCTCCTTGTAATCCTTTCGCTCCAAGAGAGAGGCAAAAAGAGTCTCAGGCTCTGGAAGAGAAGGAGACTGTACCGTTGTTGGGCGTACAGACCTGGCATAGTGGGAACCAGCGGCACCAATGTGAGGCCATAGGAAGTTCTGACTTGTTGTTAGTGAAAGGGTCTTCGAAATATCGGGGGAAGTGCATACATTGCCTGAGCCATCCGCTTGTCTGTATACGTGGTCCGAACCGAGGTAGCTACAAATGCGGTCAATCTCGTGGTCAATACATAGTCTCTGTTCCTGTCAATCAACTTACGAGATTGGCGGATGCTCCAAATCGTTCCATAGTTGTTTGAGGAAAGTGTTTGTCAAAGCTTTCGCGTTTCGGGAGGTTGACGGCAGACCGGAAGCGAGCTAAACAAGGGTTAGCAGGCCTGGATCCGAATGAGAAACTAGATCACTTACTTGGATCACTCGCTCCATGATATAGTGTCTGTCATTGAGCGGCTCGCCTGTTGCAGTATCCTTAACAATCTCCAAAATGGCCTTGACGCTATCGAGGTCGACATGGCCCAGGTCCTTGACGAGGCCTGTCTGCACCTGCTCTGTGATGTATGTTCCATCGCCCGTTGTAGTAGGCAATGGCCGTAAGGATGCTGAAATGACTTTCTCGACCTGGGAGATCTTGCTTCCAACACCGTTCAGGAGGGACTTTTCCTGCTTGGTAGCCATGACGGGCTAAATCAAGCCTCCTAGTATATAATCTGGTGGTATCTCGACACTGTGCTGGATGTTAGTGATTGCTTTCCAAGGGACATGTAGCAGGTCAACAAGAATGTGCCATTGCTTGCTCATCCCAATTGATCCGCCGGAGCCATTCCGGGGACCCTCGGAAATATGCTCACTGGCTTGCCCAAAAGTACGAGAATAACGAACGCATTGGGATAACGTGGCTCACCAGGTAGTTGAAAACAAAATCCGGGAAAAGAAACCAAGCAATTGAACCCAAATGCGGGGAGAACCGAACCAGGCACGGTAAACAGTGAACTAAAAGTCTAAACGCACAGGCTTCAGAAGCCAACAACTAAAAGTATCTGTGCGTGACAGGTTGATCACCGACAAGCAAATGCGATCGGTCAAAGAAGGGGGAAAGGCATGCTTATTTATAAGATTGAATCAGTATCAGCATGGTGGCTGTGGGGAGAGAGGGAGTCGGCGACCCCGATACGAGCGAATAAGAAATTTACGGCATGAGAGGCATTGGCATCTTGTCTAGGCGAAGAATGCCCCGTGAGAAGTGCTAGTCCGACGACATTGTGATTCGTATGTATGAGACATGAGAACAAATGAGCGCTGTTCCAGCTGGGATTTACGCCACACGCTGAGCTGACAGACCAAATTGGCCGTGATTAGACGTGCCTTAGCGGGACATCCAAGGTAAAAGGCGCCATGGTCTAGATGATGGAGGGGACCGGTAAAGACCGAGGGAGGGGCCCCTATCAAGGAGGCGATGCAGAGAGCGTGGAGAACTCGTAAAATGTCTCTTCTAGACTAGGTTAAGTTTTTACTTTAGTGAGCCGATGAGGAGTTCAATCCAACTGTGCAGCTGGAGCTCTCGAGTCGTCCATGCGGGTGGCACAGACAGACTGGCATTCTACGTTGATGCTTCCTATGGAAAGCCGGCCTTTGGGTGATTGATAGCCACGCTTTGATTTGTCTGGATGAGGGATTGTCAATGACATTGTGGACGGTTTGGAAACTCAGTTGAGTCCGTTTACCCGTGAAGTCCTGGGTTGATTTGCTGAGCAGCGGTCACTTTGGAAAAGTGCGCGCAGCGACCTTTGTTTGCTTTTGATTACTATGGCAAGTGGTGGTTATCAATTGGAGCATTGCCATTTGAGGAATGGTGCTGAGAGTGCCGGGGAACGCCTGGCACTAAAATGGTTCCAAGTTGCTAAAACGTGCTAAACGGCCGATGGAGTCGGATGGACTCATGGAGAGAGACGAAAGGCTGGCTGACAGGCCGACACTAACTGCGACACTATTTAGTTTTCGGGACGATAGTCTAGCCCGTCGCAAGTTTAGCCTGTTGATAATATCAATGGGTTCTCTCAGCTGGACAATCAAAGCGAGGCGCCATGTGTGGAAGGGATATCAGAGGGTGTTTATCCAGGCCAATATTCTAGACTCTGTCTGTTCAAGGTTGTCTCCTGCCGAGTCGGTGGTCAGTTATCACATGGTCCCAAAGGATGGTGCCATTGTTCGTTCGTTCGTTCGTTCGCTGGCTGGTTCAGCCTTGCTTGCTACTGTACCATTTTTCTCAGGCAGGACATCTGACTCAGGCTGTGCATGAAAACAATACGAGTGAAGGTTCCATCCGAATTCGGCCCGGGGATCCTTCGAGCTTGCTTCAGCTGAAGATGGGTGGGCCATAAATTAATTATAAAATCATAACGACCATGAATCCACTCTGCACTATAATTCATAAGAATCAGCCCCCATTAATGCCCTTCTTTATGCGGCTGAGGGCGGTCTGCCACGTGATGGTTCCCGCCCGCCGGAAGCCGAGGCTCTGAGCTTACCCAGTCGAGTAAGTTAAGCGCGGTAAGCTGCAGTGAAGCAGAAGGTCCCAACTCTCCCTCAACCAAAAGTCAGGGTAATTTCCGCGCATCTCCGGCCTCAGTCCTGGATTCTAGACTAATCTTCACAGCCTTCCATCACATCCTGGTACCCCTCAGTCAACTAATCCATCATCATTGGTGGCTATCAATTGCTATCAGCAGAGCGGTCCATCTCCAACTCGCTCCCCCCTCAGCTCGTTCCAATGGCCATAACATTAGTTGTTGAGCCCCGGGGTAAGTCCTGTTCCCAACCGATTCCACCCACCTATCCTTGCCAGACTAACACCACTTATCTCCAGGTAAACCCATCAGAAAGCTCCCCAAGGAGCTCCAAGTAGCGCCCAATTCCTCGACCGAGGAAATCTACCAAGCGTTGGCCAAAGCCTCCAAGTTTTCCATCCACCGCCTCCGCATCACCAAGGGAAGCGACCGGACGCTCGTTCCCAACTCCAAGGACCTGACCGTCGATGGCACCGGCCTGAAGGAAAAGAGCGTGATCCACGTCAAGGACCTAGGTATGGCCCAGACCTCCTAACTCCAAAACAGAAACACCCCAGAGAATTAACCTCATCTCCGCTCGCTCCTCAGGCCCTCAACTAGGATGGCGCACCGTCTACCTGATCGAATACCTGGGCCCGCTCATCATCCCCTACCTCTTCCTCTACCCACTCCGGCCGTACATCTACTACAACTTCGACCAGCCGCTCGCGGAGCCCTCGAACTTCCAACGCCTGGTCTGCGCCCTCTTGACCGTCCACTTCATCAAGCGCGAGTATGAGACCATCTTCATCCACCGCTTCAGCAACGCCACGATGCCCGCGCGCAACATCCTCAAGAACAGCGGCCACTACTGGCTCCTGGCCGGCGCCAACATCGCCTACTGGGTCTTCCGCCCGGACAGCCCCGCCGTCGCCCGCGACGGGGACGCCTTCCTGTGGTACACGGGCCTGGCCCTCTTCGTCTTCGGCGAGCTGGCCAACCTGAACGCCCACTGCATCCTGCGCGACCTGCGCCGCCCCGGCACCACCGAGCGCGGCATCCCCACCGGCTTCGGCTTCAGCGTCGTCACCTGCCCCAACTACTTCTTTGAGATCGTCGCCTGGGTCGGCATCTACCTGCTCGGCGGCCTCAGCTGGAGCGTCCTCCTGTTCATCGTCGTCGGCTCCGCCCAGATGGCCATCTGGGCCAAGAAGAAGGAGCGTCGCTACCGCAAGGAGTTTGGCGACAAGTATAAGCGCAAGCGCTTTGCTCTCTTCCCTGGCCTCGTTTAAAATTAGTGAAACGGGAGATAGAGTCATGGGAAAGGAGGAGGGGGGAGAAGCATCGTTTGGTGGGCTCTGCTGCCCCCAAACAAGTCGCACGTCATGAAGAACATGGTTTTGCCCTTGTTCAACAATCTCACATTTACGACCCAAAAAAAGCAGAACCGACGAATGGATGAGACATTGCCACGAAGCTTAAAGTTGGTGGTCAGAAAACCCACCAGCAATTTAGTTTCCCCTATCGCACCTGACACTCACTCCGCATGACAGCTGGGCGCTACATCGAGTCTAATGTCGCAATTGGTGCTTTTAAAGGTCTCCTGATGCTAAATACTGAAAAGAGGCAGTAGTTCAAATTTAACCTTTAATAATACACGCGCTCGCTCTATGTGGTGCATCCTCATGAAACTCCAGAGAACACCTGGGAACAATAAACCAGTAAGAAAAAACAAGAAACACGGTTTCGTACTCCCCCCCCAAACCCACAGCCACGCAACTCCAAATCCCAGCAAGAAGAAAGTAAAGAGTCCAGTTGGAGTGAACAGGGATCACTCAGTCTTCAATTTGGTCTGCGAAAGGCGGTAGTACGGCTCCATCTCTTTTTCGCAGCTCCGCTTCGTATCAATGTCACAGCCAAGGAACCGGATGACAAGATCGCCGTCCTTGTAGATGCCGTTCGCCGCCGCCGCCGTGCAATCCTTGCTGTAGGCGTTGATGGTTCGCTGAGGCAGGAGCGCCAACCGGGCGAGGATGGTCGGATGCCATTGGACGATGTGATCCTAGAGAGCGAAACAAATGACGTGAGTGAGTATAGTTATGGTGACATAACGCCTGCAGAACGCCCAGGGTGAACCGAAGCAGAGCACAGCAGAGAACACAATAGAATTCCTTACCAAGACATGCGTCTCCGCCTTCGCGAAGTTATAACTCCGGTACAGGGGATCGAACCACAAGTCCAGGAAGAACTTGGCGAAGTCGCCCTGCCGCAGCACAAAGCTCCCGGGACTCATGTCCTCGTTGTCGGTGGTGATGATCAGGTCGACGTCTTCGGGGTGGACATGCGAGAAGGTCTTGATGATGCTGTCGGGCGGCACGACGGAGACCTCCTTGAGCATCAGCGACTCGAGCCGCTGCTTGTCCAGGACATGCGACCCCAGCGACTTGCTCGGGTTCATGATCAGGGCGTGCGCATCGAGGTGGAAGAAGTACTGCGAGTAAGGGTGGGAGGCCATCGCATGCCGGACGGCGGGGATGACGGCCCAGCTCTGCGGCGAGTCGCCGATCGAGGATTCGTAGTCAGAAACGTTGGCGAAGAAATTCGTATACCCTGATTTGGCAGCGAGTGCGTTTGTGTCAGTTGCAGTGAGACAAAAGTGGTAGTCATCATGTGTCAACCGCCATGTCCTCTCCAGGGGGCCACCACTACTCACCATGACGCTTCGCATAGTCCTCCCGATTCTTGACAATCTTCTCGATGTAATCTTCGCTGAATCCAACCCGATCTAACACCGTGACGATGACCACACTAGAGGTGCTCGCGGACACTGCAGGGGTGCCAGTGCTCGTATAGAAGAATTGGGAGAGGAGGAAGAATATGGTGAGCAGCGCAAAGGCGAGGAGGGCAATGGCTTTGAGCTGTTTCCTGCGCTGTAACGAGAATCGCGAGGATCGTCCATACACAGGAGTTATCGGGGCCCTCCTGGGAGGTAAGGCGAACTGCATGCTGTCAAAATCTGTCCCCAGCGAGCGAATGCTGGGTGACTGGTGAGGAAGAAATTCGTTGGAGATGAAGCTGGATCGTTTCTAAGTACGAGTACTTCGGTCGGACAAAGCGTCACCGCATAGAGATGGGGCCGTTCTGCCGCTTCCGGCTATCAATCCGCGGGTCTTTGGTTGGCCCGAGATATCGCAACATTCCAGAGGGCCCGAGCAAGTCCGTCCTAAGTATGTGCTTTCCAGAGATATTATTAGCTCTTGTCTTGTGGTATACGAGTCAGTCTGGCTGAGTGATGCAGTATTGCTTTATAGAGCCAAGCGTTACTCATGACTCTTTTGACTACATTGTACCGGACATGGCAGTACTGCACATGCCGTGCCGCTTCACTCACCATATCAATAGTACTTAGTACTTTACATCGGTGTGCTTCATTGTACAGTACTATAGACACTGGCTCGGTCTCGTACGCCTCACCAGCTAAAGAAAGTCCCTGCTCGATGACCAGTAGTCAAATTCTAATATCATTGGCCAAGGTGAAATGAAGTATAAATACAGCAAACAATAAATCGGAACATGCAAGGTCCATGGTAATCAATGCAAGAAAATCAAAGCCGGACAACTGTAGAGTTTCTCTCTCGACAAGCAGCCAGCAAGATAGAGGGCACTCCACTGACGCTGCCTGCGGAAGACTGTCGACCATGATCGCAAATAGATATAATACAACAGACGTTCTCATCCCCTGGTCTTGAACCGCGGATGCTTCAGGACGGTTACAAGCCCACACCTCTCACAACTTCAACAACCATTTGTGTCCCCCCTCAGTACTGCTTCTCATTGAGCGTAGGCTTCGTCAATACCTTGATATTCGTCAGGTCAAGCGCCTTCTTCTTCCTCTCAGCCTCCTTTTGCGCCACAAACTCCTCGAAGGTTTGAGGCTTCTCGACGTTGTGAAGCAGCCTGTCCAATTCGAATTTCTCCTGCATCTTGGGCGAGTTCATCACCTGCCACCGCAGCTCCCAGCCGAAAATACCCAGCTCCTTGATCCGGGCCGGGGTGTTGCCCAAGAGGTACTTGTCGAGCCCACCGCACTTCTCGATCGTCCTCAAGGCCTTCTTCGTCACCTTGATGAACAGGAACTTCTCAAGACTGTCGCTCCAGATCTTCTTGCGGCGAACGTTGGGCTTCCAGGATCGGCGGGTCTTGCCCTCGTTCTTGCCGTCGGAGATCTTGTTGCCGAATCGGATCATCGCGCCGCCGTACAGACCGGAGTTGGACTGCTTGAAGACATAGTTGGGGCCGTACGGGTAGGGTGGGATATGGTCCGGGAGTTTTCGCGTCTTCTGTACAGGCAGTGTCGTGGAGAAGGACCGCTTCGCGGTGTTGAGTGAAAGGTTGCGAAAAGCCGCAGAGAGGGTGAAGGGGAGCGACATGGCCGAGCGAGTCTGTAGGCCCGCCATCCTGTATTCTGTCTGTGGAAAATCGGAGAGGAATAAGAATTCAGCTCTTGACCATGACAGAGTCACTGCCGGGCAAATCGATGGCGAGATTCGGCCAATTGAGGAGTGAGTGAAAGATCTCAAGCTGCTGGTCGATAATACCTAGACAAGGCCTGGACGCACTTCCGGCGGGAGTGGGAGAGAAAGAATTTGGGCGTTGCGGCTGACCGCCTTGGTGACCGGCCGCTCTGATTGATCGATTGGAATTTCCGCTCAGCAGCAAGCAAGCAAGCAGTTGCTCCAGGCTCATCATCATCCATACCAAGACCGACCGTTTGTTTCTCTTCATTCCTCCTTAACTCATCGTACTCACTTGTGTGCTCCGCTCGGTCAGCTCTTCGCGGCTCCTCAACAACAAGTTCCAACCCCTCAATCTTCATCCCTCGACTTTCCCATTCGCTTTCCCTGTGGCCTTCCGAGTAAGGTCGCAATCCCTTCACCATGGTCCAGATCAGTGAAGTGAAGGGCAATTCGCGCGAGAACAGAACCGCCGCGCATACGCACATCAAGGGCCTCGGTCTCCGGCCAGACGGAACCGCCGAGACAACCGGCGATGGATTTGTTGGACAGGGTGCTGCCCGTGAGGTATGCGACGCACGCAAATCCCTTCTTTTTCCGTGCACAAGAACTATTGCTTCTCTGCTCCCGTTGAGACACATCGTTGGCTGACAAGATGTATTTTCTTCTCACAGGCATGCGGTGTTGTTGTTGATCTGATCAAGGCGAAAAAGATGGCCGGCCGTGCCGTGCTTTTGGCCGGTGGTCCTGGTACGGGCAAGACAGCTCTGGCTCTTGCCGTATCGCAGGAACTGGGAACCAAGGTCCCATTCTGCCCCATCGTCGGCAGTGAGATCTACTCTGCCGAAGTGAAGAAGACCGAGGCGCTGATGGAGAATTTCCGGAGAGCAATTGGTAAATGATCCCCATTACCGCTGCTGCTGCTGTTGCTGCGAACGCAGAAGCGACAAAGATTGGCGCGCGGCTAACGCAAATTCATCTACAGGTCTCCGTGTCCGCGAAACCAAGGAAGTGTACGAAGGCGAAGTTACGGAGCTCACGCCCGAGGAGGCCGAGAACCCATTGGGGGGATATGGACGGACGATCAGCCATTTGATCATCGGACTGAAGTCCGCCAAGGGCACCAAGAAGCTGCGCCTGGACCCCAGCATCTACGAGGCCATCCAGAAGGAGCGTGTCACGGTGGGAGACGTCATCTACATTGAAGCCAATACCGGCGCGTGCAAGCGTGTGGGACGCTCCGATGCATATGCGACCGAGTTCGATCTGGAGGCGGAGGAGTACGTCCCGGTGCCCAAGGGCGAGGTTCACAAGAAGAAGGAAATCGTCCAGGACGTGACGCTACACGATCTCGACATGGCCAACGCCCGGCCGCAGGGCGGACAGGACGTGATGAGCATGATGGGCCAGCTGATGAAGCCCAAGAAGACCGAGATCACGGACAAGTTGCGCCAGGAGATCAACAAGGTCGTCAACCGCTACATCGACCAAGGTGTTGCAGAGCTTGTCCCTGGCGTTCTTTTCATTGACGAGGTTTGTTATATATTCCCTCAAAATACGTGCGAGTTATTCTAACAACACAACCCCTCAGGTCCACATGCTCGACATCGAATGCTTCACGTACCTCAACCGAGCCCTCGAATCCACCATCTCCCCCATCGTCATCCTCGCCTCCAACCGCGGCCACACCGTCATCCGCGGCACAGACGATATCTCGGCCGCCCACGGCATTCCTCCCGACCTCCTCGCCCGTCTCCTCATCATCCCCACTCACCCCTACACCCACGACGAGATCAAGACCATCATTCGCCTGCGCGCGAAGACGGAAGGCATCACCATCACCGACCCGGCCTTGGACAAGGTGTCGGAACACGGCAGCAAGGTCAGCTTGCGCTATGCTCTGCAATTATTGACCCCCGCCAGCATCCTTGCCCGGGTCAACGGCCGGCCGGGTGGCATCGAGGAGGCCGACGTGGCTGAGGTCGAAGATCTCTTCATCGACACCAAGAGAAGTGCTTTGATCGTCAGCCAGGATGACGACAAGTTCCTGAAATAGATAATCCAAACAGAGTGGTGCCTTTTGTGATCGGAGTTTAATGAACGTAAGCTTTTTTTTTGGTCTGGCCTAATCCCTGTCTTTTTTTTCTTTTGTGATGTACTTCGACAGACAGATGGAGTGGAACGATCCATATGAAAATTTTAAAATTCTAAGCTTAGCTGGCAACTTATCATACCGTGCCTGCCATCGTGAGAGATGGATCTGAAAGTTCTAGCCGAGAGCAGTCAGATGTAGCTATATCTCAATGAGCTGTATAGTTACTCGGCGCAAGTCTCGGTAAGAGATCTATTCAGTCTATTGTTCCTAAGCAGTTTAACTCAATCTGATAGACAAAGAGGGGCAGATCTTCCATGAATCTCTTTGTCAAGACAGCTTCCCAGGCTCCTGCCCCGATAAGTGTCTGTGGCGGCGAACTATGAATCGCGAGGCCGGTCCAGGCAGCAAGGGCACCAGCAGTTCCAGAACAAGAACAAAAACTTGGAGTAGGCGGAGTAGAGTCCGGATTATGTGAAGAGGGAGGCTCAGGCTTGGACGGGGCAGGTCCGCCGCGAAAGGTTTGGAGTGAAATTCGACTGGGAAAGGGACTTCTGCGTTCAAGTCTTCAATCGCAATCCGCAAGCCTGCAGTGATGGCATCCTCGAGGTGCCCACGGCCCGTCCAACAGAATCCGTAGCTCAAGTCTCGTTTGTTCTGAATGAGCGCAAGATCATTTTGTGCCTGCAGTGTGCTGAAGCTTGGATCTGCCTCAGTGAATTCACATACACTCTGCACGATGCTAGGGTGAGGTGGCATAATCGGGTTCAGCGTGATGTATATCGGACCGTAAAGAGACGCTGAAATACTGTCCAAGGCATTAACATTATAGCTGAGGCTAGATTTCCGGGGCATTGAGTCCTCGGATGAGCGCCCAGGCACGATGGGCTCCAGCACATAGGTGTAGCCGGTCCCAGAATGCTCTCTTTCAAGAAGAAGCTGGCCCAACTGGTGAGCAGCGCTTCCCCAACCCTCACCCGCCACGAATTGAGCTGAGGGCCTTACGCCTTCACCCACGAGGGAATCCGAATGCAACACAGATATGTTCTTCGTTGTTCCCAAAGCCCCAATGATCTTCCTGTCTTGCGCGCTCGCAAGAGGCCCCAATATCTGCACGATCTCTTCCCTATCGACCGTGAAAATGATGCGATTAAAATCAATCTCACGGCCATCTGCTGTAACCAGTCTATAGACCTTCTTGTCGTACCGGGTCACTCGTCGGACTCTCGCCTCTAAATGTACCCTAGAAGGATCAAAATCGCGAGAAAGGACCTGCACCAGGCGGCTCGCGCCCCGTTCTATGCTACGCCACCTCGGAACATTCTGCCGCGGCCAAAGCAGTTGATGGTCATACAGACAGCGGATAGCAGCTTCGATAGGTAGCCGTGAAAGGAGCTTGCCAGCATTTGTGCCCCATAAAACTGAAAGTGTCGGAGCTAGGTACTCATCACGGAAGCTGGCCGAATATCCTTCTTTCGACAGATATCTCTTGGCAGAGAGAAGTGAATCAATGTTACTGGTCGTGCATGGCGAGACATCCTTACGTAGCACGTCGATGGCTAAGAACTTGAGCCAGATGATATCCGACAATAACACGTACGTCTCCTTGCGGCAAAGGATCCAGGGCCGCAGAAGGATGCTTTGCAATAGACTGTCACTCCACCAGGAACTGCGATCTCCGTCAGTTACCCTGACGCTGAATCGATGTCTGATCGTCGACACTCCCAGGTAGCGCAGCAATGAATCCAAGTTTGCTGGATTGCAAATCAGTCCAGTCCAGACGACATCATGGGAAAATGACACTGACGAGAGGCCTCAACATTGTAGACAGATGATGATTCTGAATTCACGTTCGTTTGAATGCCCTCATGCTCGAAAGGCAGTGACTTGATACGCCCGCCGAGAGCATCAGAGGCTTCAAAAAGGTGGACGTCATGACCGGACCTCTGCAAGGCCCAGAACGAGGTGATTCCCGTGCAACCACCCCCTATTATAGCGACACGCTCTCGCTGTGAGACAGGCATGAGAATAATGGCACTCGACAGTCACTTCGGCCATTGGCTCTTGCAGTCCGATATATGAGTTCCTCGCTGGCTCTGCGGTTGAAGTCGCCCGATTCAAGGTTCGTGTCTTAGTTTCAGACACAGTGGCGATGGTTCCTGGCCTCTACCGCGGAAGCTGACAGGGGCTTGTAATATAAAAAGAGGCTTGTGAAAATCAATGCAGCAAGTGAAGGCGACAGGCTTATCAGCGCTGACACGGTCAGATTCTCTCTGCCCTACTATTGCTTCCGATTTGCCCTCATGTGGCTTTCCGGTGTGATCACATCATATGACGGGAATACCGAGGGGTAAATCAGCTTAATATAGAGATCTGTGAGCCTCTTAAGCCATCCTTTGGAGCAAAGCAGGAATTTCTTCCGATGTAGATCTGCAGAAGAAAAGGTGCGTGACCTCTTTATTTGTGGTTTATAAGGGGGATGACTTATAGATCGATCGAAGGAAGCGACCTTGTATGGCGGTCAAGACGCAAGAGGGAACCCGTCGCAGCTCCACCCAGCCAAGGCGATAATGGCGGAAAGAGGGGCCAACAATAAGTTGAGCGGGGGGGGATGCGATCAACAATTGACCGAGAAACTCCTTCGCACCTTTGTCCACATATGACAATCGCTGTCAAAGTAGACTACAGGTGTTTGACAGTGAGAAGATAGAGAAAACATTGCTCATTAAAAAGCCACGCGAGGGGGCGCCTAACCGAGTCAAAGCAACAATAAGTGAAGACAATAGGATCATAAAGAAGTAATTGATGTTGAATTGGCGACGTCAGTCCGGAAATCATACTCAGTGGCAGCCTCGGACTGGGAGGAGACCAGCCCCAATCACGTGCAGGCCGCCCGACAAGTGGAAGCCGCCGGCCGTTCCTGGTATGGAATAGGCACTTCAACCAACTCGGTGACTTTCTTCATCCATCTTCATCTCTAATTTGTTCATCGGTCGAAGCTTGTTTATATCAGCGTTCGGGTTTTCATATAGGGCCCAACTCAGTCACCGTACCAGTTCATCCGTTCGTTGACCTTTCTAGGTGGGCTCAATCCCTCTGAGATCCAGCAGGGGCACTGGCCAGCCACCACGAGGATACAAGTGGCCAATCTCTCCGCCTTATCCGATCCACCACGACGCCTCGATTGACTATCTCGAGGAGACTCGCCATA